AGGACTCAAAGAACTCATATGTATAACCCATAGGCATGAACTAAGTGGAGGAATGCTGGAGGGTTGGGGGGCAGGGTAGAAGGGAGAAAAGGGGGAAAATTGGGAAAACTGTAATAGCATAATCAATAAAAATACTTTAAAAGAAAAAAGGAAAATAATAAATACTAATAGGTTAGATTTTTCCAGCAATCAAGTGTCTCTGTGCGGAGATGATGTACCATTCTGAGCGTATTTGGATGTAGGAATATGCTTTTGTTCTTGAAGTCAGAGAGGTTACTGAACCATATGTCCACACACTCTTCATTCTACATATGTATGTGGGAGGGGGAGATGGGGAGAATATATGAGGTCTGTCAGGAAAAAGTCCAATGATTGTTAATATAACAAGGATGGTTTGCACAACATTTATGTAACCTGGCAGCCAAGAGGAGAGGGCTGGAATGTGCATGCATGAACAGTGACGACTTCACGGTGTTAGTCAGTGGGGGCCATAGACGCTGTTGAATAAGCATGTGTACTGTGTGGTGGTGTATTCAAAATGAGTGAGTAGAGCAACGGACCTGCACCAAATTTTGTGTTATGCCTAAACATTTCTCTGTGGAAACTATTCAGATGATTTAGAAGGCTGCAACTATGGGCATCTGGTGATTGGTGGCTTCATCATGACAACGTGGCTGCTCATGCGTCATGTCTTGTGCAGAGTTTTTTGGCAAAAAACCAAATCATTCAGGTCACTCAGACACCCTATAGCCCAGATTTGGCACCCTGTGACTTCTGGCTTTTCCCAAAACTAAAATCACCTTTGAAAGGGAAGAGATTTCAGAATGTCGATGAGATTCAGGGAAATATGACAGGGCAGCTGATGGCAAGTGGGAGACCTGTGTGAGGTCCCAACGAGACTACTGTGATGGGAACTGAGGCATCATCGTCCTGTGTACAGTTTCTTGTATCTTCTTCAATAAATGCCTCTATTTTTCATATTAATGGCTGGATACCTTCAGGACAGACTGTGTATGTATATGGAAAAAACTTTCCATATACATACAAAACTATATGGAAAGTTTTTTCCATATAGTTGGAAAAAGAATAACTTTAGGTACTGGTCACTAGGATGAAAACTGCTAGACTGCCTGAGGGTGAGTATTTCAGTATCTGAAACAGAAATGGAACACGGGCTGCTGTCTTAGTAGCTGAGCTCTTGGGCTCTCTCCCAGGAGAGGCAGGCCAGGAGTATCAGAAGGAAAGGTCACTTGCTGGGGAGATCTTGGAGACCCAGGTGCATGATTCATGAGAAAAGTAAGAAATCTCTCCTAGAGGATATGGCCTCAAGATCCCAGATGGTGAACAGATTTCATCTTGACACCTTCCTTCATTCTTAATTATCTGAAGGCCTTCTACAAGCCAGGCACTGTGTGAGTCGGGTCCCCTGGTGGTGGCTGTCTCAGCCCTGGGTTTCTGAGAAAAGCTGTGCAACCTCCAAGCTCGTGGGAAGAGTCCTGGTTGATTGGGGGCAGGGGGGAGGGTCAGACATGAGGGAAGGACGGAGCAGTACATATATACTGCACACCTTCCAACCCTTCCCAAGCTTTTAAGTGAGCCCCACAAATGAGCTATGAGCTGACATGGTAAGGAAACAGGGGTGTCATGATCCCAGGATGGAGGGGGAATGAACAGAGGCCTGGGTAGAGAAGGGGTGCAGCAACAGAATTTGTCCTTGCCATTTGCTGCAGAAAGAGAGGTACCTGTTCCGGCTCACTCTAAATGCTCCTCCATCCCAGGGGAAGATGCTAAATGCTCCCTTCTATAAGGAGCCGCCCTGGTAAAACCAGGGGAAGTGGGCATGAAGAGGTTAAAATTAAGAAGGAGAAGGAAGAAGTCACATTAAAAGAGATGGGGACTTGCCCTGGCTGGTATAGATCAGTGGATTGAGCACGGGTTGCAAATCAGAGTCGCCAGTTCGATTCCCAGTCAGGGCATATCCCTGGGGTGCGGGCCAGGTCCCCAGTAGGGGCCACGTGAGAGGCAAACACACACTGGTGTTTCTCTCCCTCTCTTTCTCCCTCCTTTCCCCTCTCTCTAAAAATAAATAAATAAAATCTTAAAAAAAAAGAGATGGGGACTTAAACCAAAGCAAAAACAAGCCACCCAAGCCAGTGCTTATGTGCTGGCTTAAACTGTACCCCTGGAGTACAGTTGGGCTTGATGACTTGTCTATGGCCCTCTGATAAATAATTAATTCATCCAAATTTATATGCCTATTAGAAGAGTCTTTTACATTCCATGACTTCCAGCTCTCTCAGCCCGGTTTTAGTGCCACACTGAATTCCTTCTGTCTTCATAGGCTTCCTGCAGCTGTAGTCTGCTAATGACACCTGAGCCCCGAACGACAGGCCAGGACAGAATTCTGCTGAGCAGAGGGTTTGCTGGGCTTGGTGCAGAGATTCAAAGATGGCTCATAAAGAAAAATAATGAGTCAAAAGCTGATTAAACATCAATCATTTCTATGTCTCTAAACCTCGAGGAACGCCAGAATTGCTTTCCTCTCCAGTAACAAGCCTGAAAACCGTTCACTCCGCAGACATTTGCTTCTCTGCATCTTCAGCTCTCCGCTTTCAATGTGGATTGGAATAAATTGCTTTTAAATTGCTCAGAGACACAGAGAAAGGAGTTAGAGGCAGAAAGGGTTATATATGCAAAGCTTGACTGGTCTTTAGTGTCATTATTTCAAAGCCCAAGATTCATTCGTTTTAGTGCCTGCTGCTGTGCTCTGGGTGGAAGGTGCAGGGGGTGTCTCGGTAATACGCTGCCTCATTTTCATCATATTTGCCACTGTTTTAGCCATAATTCTACGTGAAGTACTTCAATATATTCTAGACAGATGACTAGGCAATACAAAATGAGACCAGTGACATCCTCTGAAGGCACCAGTTTTTCAAGGATAAGTATATGCCTTTCACACTCAAAATTCAAGCTGCAGACCTTGGTTGTCAGGCAATCTCTGACACGGTGGCCTGGGCTTTCCAGGCCTCTTCCCTTTCCCCCCCCTAGATCCAGGGAGCCTCGGCCTCGGCCTGCTTCCCATTCTGTGACAGGGCAAATGGATGGTAGGTAAGTAAGAGTTCTTTTAAAACTTGCAAGGCTGAGTAAGACATTAACGAGGCCGGGTTAATAGAAGTGTGCGAGACGGTAACGACATGCTGCTGAAAACCAGCGTTGCCAAAGGTTATTTTAAAGGAGCTTAAGCTTTCTCTACCATCTATGTGGGGAAAAGTAAAATGAGGCAAATGTCAAGACAGCATTGCCAGAAAGGGCTCACACATGCTACTGGTTCCATAATATCATCTAGGACAGAAGGTGAACGAGAAGCAGACAGCAAAGCTGGGGACACACTTCAGGCCTGCCTGCCACAGTCACCAGGCTACAGATGATGACCTTGGGAGGAAAGAAATCCTAATGAAAGCACCCACCTCTTTGGCTAAGGAGATAAATAACTTATCAAACTGTTTTATCCATGGCATCGCACAAATGGCTGGGAGGTAGAAATGGTCAAATGTCTTTATTTGCCTGTGGAGAAACTGAGGCAGAAAAAAGACGCATATTCTTCTGTCTGGAGCATATCCATGAAATGTTCTTAAATGTGAGTGTTTATTTATGAAGTCAGTAAGTCAAGGGCCAGCAGAGATTTATTTTGCAATAAAAAAAGTCATGAGTTACGGACACCCTCGAGATGACCACAGTGACTGAGGGCAAGCCAAATTCCCCGGCCTGTTTCCTCACGCTCACAGGAAAGATAACGAGAGCACCTGCCCTGCCTACCTCTGAAGGCTGTTGTGAGAACTACACAGGACAGCATGCGCGAGTGCACTTTCTGAAATCAAAATATCACGCCGCGAGTATAAATCCCTATTATGACACAGAAGTTCATCCACTCAGCCTCTCTCCCTCACTTCAGAAGTGAAAACACATTCGGTCGGGGGCCAGAGCTGAAAAATTCACTCTTGATAATGAGCTTCTTTATCCTTTACTAAGCCCTGCGGCAAGGCCGTGCTTGTTTTTGTGACCCTGAATCCCTTGCACAATGCCTGGCACACAGAAGCTGCTCAGTCAGTATCTATAATATTCATAAATGACAGCTTAACAATAAACATGAGAAAGCTTACCTAGTACATTACCAACCCTTCAAAACCAAACTCTGATCCATTCATTTGGCACTTCCATGACAGAATTGTGGACACTGGGCAGACCTCCCCACAGTGTCCAAACAGCACATTCATCACACCCCTGGGCCGTCCTCCATCAATGCTCCCCCAGCTCCCTGCACCACGTGGTCTGAGCGCTGTTCCTGTCTGTGACCATCAGACCCTCAGTCCCTTATCACATTTAATCCTCCACTCTTTCCCAACACTCATCAGAGCTGCTGGGTTGGTTTCGGGCTCCCTCCACCCCCATCACCTGACTCTCAGTCCTGTCTGTCTGTCCCAAATGCTAGGTGTACCCACACCCCATCTGTTTTTCATCTCACACGTCTCTCCTGTTGCTCTCCCTGCTCCTCGAGCCCGAAGGAGCTTTTCCCTCATCTGGACTTCTTCAGTGAGCAGTCCAAATGAGGAGATGTGAGGAAAAGCTAGTTGGGCAACTGGCTCCTTGGACTTAAGCACCCTAGGCTCGCTGGGAGAGCCACTGCTCCGTCAGGAAGTTGGGCCCTTGAGACAGGGCCTCACCTTTCCTATTTGCCACCTTATCCCCAGCCCCTTGCTTGATGCCTGGCCCAGAGTGAAACCTCAGTAAGTATGTTTTAAACTGTAGCAACCTCATTCCACGATGCGCTAACTTGTCAGCTCCAGCCGGTCTCGAAAAGCACTGCCCAGCAATGACCTAAAGAGCTATTGCAACACATTGAGAGGAAAGCGTGAGAGAGTCTGATCCCACTTTCAATGCCAGTGGAATAAACCTGAAAACAGTATCACTGATAAATTTTTATAAAACTACTGAGAACTTACCTTGGTTTCTCGGAGAAGAAACTGCAGGTCCCGCCCACTGAGGATACCATGGTTTTTCACGTAACTGGGAATGTTCTTCGTGCTAGAGCCGTAAACGGTAGCGTGCACTTCCATGTATGTGTGAATGATATCCAAGTAGAGCTTCTTATTCTACAGAGGGGACACAAGACGGTGTTTCTCATTTTTTTTTCAGTCTCATAACCACTCGTCACATAGGGGGAGGCCACAGAAACAGTAGTTCCTAATATGGAGATGGCAGTAATTTGGAAATTCAACTCTTAACATTTCTTTCAAAAGGAATCTGAATCCTTTCAGATTTTGAGGGATTTTGAGGGTAAAAACGGTCACATGGCCACTGAACAGTTTTGCAAGAAGAAGCATATTAGATAGCAACATATTACTGAATACCAATGCTAAGTCAAGGCGAACTGTTTTGGAGTATGGTCCTCACTTTGTAAACTACCAAGGACCCAACACTCTGCTTTAGGCTGGTCTGCCTTCAGGCGAGCATGGTCGGGGAAGGCAAGCCCTGGGAAGGCAGTCAGTTGGACTTGAATCTTTATCCGGAGATGCTATGCTGTCCCTGAGGAATGCAAACATCCCCAGCTCTTGCCAATATTTCTAGTGATGATTAACTCATGTTGTCAGAACAGGATTCCACCTAATTTGCATGATGAAAAGAGAGTTTCCCACAGTACACAGTGATTGACTCGGCAGCCGGAGAGATAAGACTAGCTAGGTAGACAAAGGTGGAAAAAAAATTAAATGTAAACTCTGATGAACCCCAAAACATTTGAGAGTAGTTTTACTTTTATTAGCAGCAAAACAAAACCTCTTTTCTGCACTAAATTTTGAGGCACATTTTTTAAATGAAATATACCCGTGAAGCAGAGGCAAGCTCCCTTTCCCTTCCCCTTCATGTGCCCACGTGGCCGAGATGCATAAGATGCATTTTGTGGGCTGCTTTTATTCCCCTTTTTAATTTGAAAGATTCAGGTTCTGTAATGTTTTCCAGTTGTACAGAAGTGGGGCAAGGTTTCCCGTCTGAGCCTGAGACACTCCAGGCAAACGCAGTCAGAGCCCTTTGTGACTAAACACCACAAGGTCCACGGGGGTGCGGCTCCAGCAGCCCCGGAGCTCAGCGGCCGGCACTTGTCCGCCTGCCCCGGGGGCTGGGCCCTGGTCCTGACTGTGTGAGGCAGCCCCTCATGGCATCGTGAGCGGGGCTCAGGGTCAGCCCCCTGCCGTTCACTGCCCCGGGAGAATATTACAAAGGACTATCAGCTTTGGGGGTACATGTTTCGAAAGCCTTCCTGACCTGAAAAGCAGTACGGGCCACGTTTTCCAGGGGGACTTTGTTCAGAATCCACCAGTCCATCCCTGCACCCTGGTGTGTGAATAAAATGAACACTTTGACTGAAAGTTTAATTTCATGCCATGTTTAGTGTGGCTGGAAAATGTTAAATTCATTCCATCAGAGATGTATACTCTTGAATTAGTGCAGAAGTAACTACAAACCGTTTATAAACCATGACTTCCAATTCAGAGCTTGAGCCAAATTTAGGATCACCCCTGGGGCAAGTTAATTTGAGGGGCTCTATGACATTGTTCTTTGCTAGTTGTTACCTGGTAACTCCTACCCCCACAAACCCCTTGCAGGGACTCCATCCCCACCCACATCCCCTGCCACTGCTGGCTGGCCCAGGCTGTATCTGCCCCGAGGGGCACCCATTCCTGGGCTGGCCCAAAGCCTGGGACAGCGTGTCCAGGCTCAGGCAGATGAACTGAGCCAACCAGACCCTCTCTCGGGAGCATGGAATCCTGTACATAGGGAGATTACTGCCAGATGGCCCTGGGCTTTCGAGCAAAAAGGTCATTCAGTGTTGGAATCTGGGCAATCATAGAGCAGATACAAGTTCTGAGGAAGCCAGCTGCCAGTTTTGGGGGGTGGAGGTGGGAAAAGAATGAGGTAAGAGCTGAGAGAAAGGAGGAAAGGGGAAGACAGAGAGTTGGTAATAAGAGGGACCGGACAGTGACTGAGACCTAGATATCACCCTGCAAGTATGATAGAGAGAGGGTGGGGAAGGAGGAGGAGTGACTGAGAAGGACGGTGGAGAGGGGACGGGAGAGAGGAGGAAGAGGAAGAGGAAAAAGAAGAGGAGGAAGAGAAAAGAAGGGAAAGGAAGCAGAGACAGAAGAGCCCAGAGCCCAGAGCTGCCTCTGGGTCCCGTCCCATCCACAGCTGCTCCGTACCCTAAAGCGCCCAGGTCTTTCTGGATCTTCACCAGAGCAGTAGCTGCTCAAATTCTTCCCCACCTCACACCTTCACTTGAGTTGCTCTGAGAGGATTCCTATCATCCAAAAGGAGGCCTGGCAGGACATTCTACTGGGCTTTTGCTGGGGAGTGGAATAGGGGCGGGTGCATCTTTCCTTTTTTAGCAAAAGGAGACTTTTCCCTGTGAAAACCAGCTGCTAACTAATGAAGATGCATCAAAGACCCCTACACCAGGTCTGCAATGAGTGACAAAGGAGAACACGAGTGGTCCACCTGGCTCCTGTCCTGGGGAAGAACACTCAACTGAGGACAGACTCCAGGTTGGGATTCTGAGACCAAATGCCTGGGAAGGGACTGCTATCTGGGACACACAGGTATCACCAGCAATCCCAGGCCTCCTTGGAGTACAACCAGAGGCTAAGTTCAGGCAGATATAAAGAAGTAATGCAGGTGCTAATAAAATCTATGAACTTATTAACATTAAGGCATGGTAAAATATGAAAGCAGAAATTACCTGCAGAGAGGACTCATGTAATTTCATGAAAAGAAAACCACAACAGGTTATTAGAAGAAAAAAAGGTTTCTAACAGAACTCTAACCTTTGAAATTGCCATGGCCACTAGGTGATCCCAGCCAGGTGTCATGTTACCACTTGTCAGAGTTCTGTAGGAATCTGGCAAGAGTGAACCATGTTATGGGTTCAGGTGAAGGTGACATGGGAGCCATTCACACTGAGCTGCCCCCTTCCCAATGTTCACACTCACTGGATGCTAAAGGAACCTGAAGAGGAATCTCCAGCTCAGAATCGCTGCTTGAACTTCAGGTCCAAAGATCCAACTACCTCTTGGGCCTCTCTACCTGAGTGTGTGGCAGGTGCTTCCAACCCCACAGGTCAAAGAGGGGCTCATCACACCTTCCTACCCCAGGGCGGCCTCACCACCCCACCACGCTCCCAATCTCAGTGACAGTCATTCATCTCTCAGTCGGGTGCCAGCCCAGGAATCACACCTGTCATTCCACACATCAAATTAGTCAGGAACCACTGCTGATTCTGCCTCCATAGCATCACATTTGTCTCCTTCTCTTTAGGTCTTGATCCTCACTCACCTGGATTGTGTCGAGATTAATAAAACCAGCATCTTAACACATCTCTCTGTGGTTCAAAAAGGTGACGCAAAAAGGTGTGGCTCATTCATGGTTTCTGCAAGTGAGCAGTAGTGTTGAGACTACAAAAGAATTTGTATGGCAACACCATTTTTTTTAACTATGTGAAGCAACACTACTCAATAGAATGTGTAAGGACAACATTCTCAGACATGGACAGTTACACAGCCAAGTACAGAACTATACACAGAGATGACAGGCACCAGCTTGGGGACAGTAATCACTGAGGGAAGGAGGGAGGGAGGTTTAGTGAGGTGGATGGAGCTTTAGTGATATTTGTGACATATCATTTCTCTGTTAAAGAACAATACTGCCCCTGGCTGGTGTAGCTCAGTGGATTGAGTGCGGGCTGGGAACCAAATTGTCCCAGGTTCAATTCCCAGCCAGGGTACATGTCTGGGTTGCAGGCCATAACCCCCAGCAACCGCACATTGATGTTTCTCTCTCTCTCTCTCTCTCTCTCTCTCTCTCTCTCTCTCTCTCTCTCTCTCTCTCTCTCTCCCCCCACCCTTCCCTCTCTAAAAATAAATAAAATCTTAAAAAAAAGAACCTAAAAGAGAAAATTAAACTAAAGTAAACACAAGAAAGCAATATAAGAGTGAAAATCAATGAAATAGAAAATATAAAAATATTAAAAAAAAGAACAATACTGCAAAATAAGAACATCTATAAATCTGGGTGGCAGGTATATGTGCTATAGTTAATATATTTCACAATAATATAGAAAACTTAAAAATATATGCAATCAAGAAAAAAAACAGAAAGCAGCCAGTATGACTTCCAAGCTTGTGCCACTGACACCACACTGAGGGCTCAGTTCTTGCCATAAAGAGGTTCACAGAACCCCTTTCCCTTCTCTCTGTAATGTGCATTGCCATCTTTTGTGTTTAAGAAGTGGGGTGCTAAGGTTTCCTGTTCAGCATGACCCGGCTTGCCTTTCCCATGGGAAGGCCCAGAGTGCCAGTAAGCACGCCCCTCACCCTGTCTTAGGGAAGAAGCAGGTGTTCTGTTGATCCAAGAACTGGAGCAGGATCAGTCCCAGAAAGCTTTCCCTCTGTGACTTAAGAGACCAAGGTCAATGAAAACTATATACTCCCTAAGAATTATCAACTATGAGTTTGTTGAGACGCAGTCAAGAGGGGCCTGGTGCCTAGTATCACAGCACCACACGCCCCTACCCATCGGGGGTGATTAGTAAAGCCTCCAAAAGGTCCCAGGCGAGCAACTCGCAGCCCCATCATGCCTTCAGTCTCAAGTTCAATTTAAATTCCCATTAAACACAACCAATCAAACCGATGAAAATTGAAATCCACCTAGATGTGGAGGGAAAGGAGAGTGCGTGCTGGAGCAGAGGAGCAGTGTTTCCAGCGTGTCTTCAGCTGCCATGATGCAGCTGGACGCAGGTCCATTTGCAGAAATGGCAGTAAGGTTGTCAGAGCTTGAACAGAGAGCTTCAGACAAGACAATTCCATCTAAAACAGCAAGGGTGTGATTCCACAGCAGGAGGAGAGGTAAAATGTGGAACTGGAGAACCAGGAGCTTTTTGCTCTTGCTGGTGATTAGGGGTGCAGGAATGCTTTTTTGGCAAGTGGCAGTATTCCGAGCTTTTGGTTGCAGTGGATATTATGTACTCTTCTCCCTAGCAACCATCCTGTTCTCCGCTGCAGACATACACATTCTGGACCCCACACCCCTCCTCCACATGGCATCT